GAAACTATATGGAGTATGGACTAATCTAAAACTTTTCCGCAACTTCATTGCTGTCATAGAGGTTAAGAGACCTTGTAGCTCATCGCAGGTCTTTGGTTTAACACTTTTCAGAGGGTTGGCAGGCTGTCAGCTTAAGCATTTTGTCATGCTGGGGTTACTGTGATTTTCTTCCATAGCCATTCAAAAATACTTGACTGCCACATCTTTTTTTTTAAAATCAGTACTTCACTGCTACATCTTTCATCACCATCACCAAGAACAGTCTCATTCCATTTATTGCAATTTTCTTCCACAGCCAAAGAACATACTTCACCACACCCTCCTCATCACCATCACTAATCTCCTTTTTTTCATCCCTTTTTTCTCTCTACTAGCTGTTAGCGTCACATCCTCGATCACTTCCATTGCCTCTGTAAACAGCATCTCTTGTTTCCTCTTGTACTTGATATGCGTGCTACCATTGTCCATAAAAATTCTAGTAAACTTGTGATTGCAAGGGAATCAGCTTGGTGTTTCGGCACTACTCATAACCTGAATGGATTTCTCATTGGTCAGGGCTGGGAATTGATTCCATCAAGTTATTTTAGGGGGTAGTAGTTGCGTTTGCGTTTTCGTCCACTATTTTTGATGTAGGTCCATGCTATCATCAGTAGCATGAGCACCTATTATAATCCACTAATGTCAAGCTTGATGTTCTTGCTTTATCCATTTCTAGTTTTAGTTTGTTTTCACAATTGAATTAGAATTTCCTTGATCCTGTTTTGGTACTCACAACGGGTATTATATTTCATTATTTCAGGTCCCTTATTATCTAGCAGAGTTAACAGAAAAAATTGCAGAAGATGATAGGATAGAAGTACTCAAGGCGTCACAAGCTAAGCTAAAGGTAAAGACTATTACGGGCTTAAGCTATGTAATAGATTGTGTTTTAAGAGGGATAAACAAAACCTATTGGTTATTCATATCTTCTCATTTTTATTGGTCAATATTTCTAGGAGTTCATTTCATTTTGTGAGACAATGGAACTTGTTCCTGAAGACGAGATAGAGACATCTACCCAAGGTGGATCTAGTTCTTCTGTAGATCGTAGAGCTAAGAAGGTAGGCTGGACTTCATGGTTTAATTGTTGTGTACAACTTTTATATTTAACGCTTGGAATCTTATCGCCCTCAATCTTAGATTCCTTCAATTTTTAATGAGATTGTTACTAAGTACATTATGTTATTTTAGATTGCTCGTTTCAAACGTCAAAGAGCTGCCGAGTCAAAACTACTTGAATTAAAGGAGCGGAGAGAGCGTCGTGGACGATCGACTAAAGCAGCTGCATTGTCAAGTCCTGTGGAAACTGGAGAAGATGACATGTTTGATGATGACGGTGAAGAAGAAAGGGAGGTGAGTTAATTTCCCCAGTTGTGGCATGGGCATTAGCATAAACTTCTTTTTTTCCGTCTTTTTCTTTTTCTGGTGCTGCAACTTTTATGGCACTTAATTGGCTGTCATCCTTATCATTCGAGGAATTAGTCAAAAGATTTTATATGCTGGTCATTAAATAAATGAGCTAATATAAGTTATAAAAGAAATTAGCGATTCTGCTGACGATGCTGGCAAGCATGCAGTTGCTGCAATGTTCTTGTAGAGGTCCACAGTCAAGTTCACGACATTGGAGCTTACGTTCAGTGGATAGGCACTCACTATTTGTTTTTATTTGTCCACACGAAATGTTGACCGTCACCCTTTGAACCTATCATAAGGATTTGCACTGACATCAATGGCAAAGGAGCTTTCCATTTTGGATATGATTTTATTGGAAGAATCTCGATTTTGCTTATTAGATGCTATTTGATTTCTTGGATTGAACTATATGTTTCCTCTACGATATACATAGCCTGATTCAAATGCAAAATTTGCTATCGCTTCTTTCAAGTTATTTCCAATCTCAAGTTTTGGCTTCTATATCTCATTTTGAGTAAAGGTCTGATTCTTCAAAACCATTATACATTGCAGGCATGGCTTACAACTATTTCCCTGGCCCTTTGTAAGGTTTGCCAAGATCTCCTATACTCATTTGAGTTGAATCTTTATTTATTTCCTGTGCTTGGTACCTTATCTTCGTAGTTATCAAATCACTTCCCTGCAGGCCTTTGATTTGCTTGAAATGCTGAAGAAAGAGGAAGAAATACTATCTGCTGTCAGGGAGAAGCAGCTTCAGGTACTATTTAAACTCAGTTAGTTGATTTGGCTTCTTTTCTGTGCTAATTTGTCATTCGGTTCTGGTAGCCTTTGATTATGGTAATTGCTATTTGAACTTGTGCGTTCAATCTTTAATTCTCTCTCCCTTTAATGAGTTCATTTGAGCCAGTGATTTCCGCCCCAGTACAGAGGGGGTTGCTCTAGTCCTTCCCGCAAGACTACCTAAAAGATCAGCATTAAATTGCAATACCTCTCTTCTTCAACTCCCTGAACCTGTTACTCCATATCTTAAAGACAGCTTTTGTATCATTGCTCTCGAGGTTGTGCTTTTGCTTCAACACATAACTTTACTTCTTTTGTAGGATGGGGAGAAAGAATTTTCTCAGCTAATACTTGACGAACGCACCCAAAAAGCAGAATCTTGGCATCGTGATGCTGCTACACGAGCTCGCTATACAAAACCTGCAGCACCTATCACCTGTGCCACTTTTGCACAAGATGTCATAGAAGGGAGGGCCAAGGTTTCACAGGCGCATGACCATAAACACCAGCCTTTACTTTTTGGACCTGCAAGTCTTGTTGGTATGAACCCTACAACTGAACGGCAAAGGATAGCCGCCCAGGTCTTTCAGCCTCATTATAGGTACGCGTACACATAATCTCTTGAATTACAAAGTTGATATATTTACTCCATTTTAGATTTGTATGCCCCATAATAGGTCCCATTCTTCTACTCTTACCCGAAAGTCAATGACTATTCATAGCTATTACCTTGACACCAAAAAAGAGTTCGACCCAATGCATTATTTTTGTCCTAGTTGATCCTGATTCGACATTAGAAGTATATTGATTTCCCCCCAATAACCGAATACTTTAGCCTCAAAGAACTAGTTTTCTAATCTTCATTCATATGTTATAGTTTGCCAACGATGAGCATTGAAGAAGCTGGGCTAACGGAGATGAATATGATGAACGAATGGCAAGAAAGGAATGTTAAGCTCATGGAAGAAGCAACTTCTTCATGGTACAATGACGGTCCCAAGACGAGGCCAAATGAAGATGATGAAGAAGATGATAATGATGACGCCGCCCAAGAAAAGGCAAGAGCATGGGATGACTGGAAAGATGACAACCCTCGTGGCGCTGGCAACAAGAAGCTAACTCCTTGTGGTTAGAAGCAATTGCATCAGATTCTAAGAACTCCAATCAATAACCTTTTTTAGCACCTAATTTATAACTCAATTGACATGCTACACCAGTTTGCCATTCAGTTGGAAACCATTTTATTCTTGTTTCTATGTGTTGCAATTTTTGTGTAATGTCTAAGGTAAGGTAATGTATTATAAAGTGATTTTTATTTTAAAATTGGTAATGGCACTTTCTCTAGTAAAAGAGGTGAGTAGTACCACATTTTAAATATTGACCTTGTTTGAAAAAATTGCAAAAATAGACTACAATAACATACTCAGTGTAATGCTTTTATCAGGTTGCGTTGTCACAACTCTTGACGATCGCCATCAAATTGGGTATCGAATCTTGACGGAAGGAGGTAGAGCGTAGAGTATTTTCTTATTATGTACTTCTTTTCGGCTAAGTCTTTTTTCTTTTCTTTTCTGGCTAGCTCTAGCCCTAATAGAGGTCCTAGACTAGACTACAAGGGCTAGCGTCCAAGGATCTGTTAGATTGTTGATCTCACTTGAGCACTCGATGTCACAAATAGCAATAAGAAAGGGTAGGGTTAAGGATTACTCACGTCACGGGTCCAACGAGCTCAACTTTCACTGAAAAGAGAGGCTAGGTCTCAAGTTCATCAAATTGAGTATCAGATCTTGACAATTTTGATTAATTGTCGTAAACTTGTTGAGTCATGTCTTTGCTTTTTTGATTGATTTATATCGGTCTAAATCAACTTAAAGTGACTCTTAATTTGATATTGAACCTTCTAATAACAATTTCAATAATTTTAATGGTTAGATTTAATCTAATTTTTTTACGATAGGATTTGGTGTAACAAGAAACAATTACTATATCTTGAAAATATGGTAAGAAGAGGTATTTAATATCACTACTTATTAATTTGTTCCAATAAATCGTTTAAACTAATGTTTTAATTAAACACATTTATAGTAAATAATACTTCCTTAATTTACTTGCCAAGGAATTAGCAGATTGCATTCCTTAAATAAAACTCCCCTTGACTAGTGTATATTTTAATCGTATTGATATGCAAAAAATTATAATTAGTACTTTTTGTATAGTTTTTTAATATCTAAATTTTTTGTTTAAAATATCGAAAGTTTAAAATTTTGAAAAACTCATTTTTTAAAACAAATTATACTAGCTTTTGACACTATCAATTTAATATGATAAAAGTCATTCAGTCAAAAAAACACTTGGAGTATTATTTTCTTTTTGAAGAAAACATCTTAAAAATTTGATAAATCGATATTTAATGGCTATTATTTAAACTTTATTCACTCTTAAGTAATACAAGAAAATCAAATCGTCTTCTCTAATAATTTTTCCAACTTTTTAACATTAATATAAAAAAATGAATTTTACCACATTTTTTTTCTAAATCAAATACAAAATAATTATTTTTATGTCCTATTTTGTTTTTAAAAAAATTTCATACCCCACTAATCAATCACTAACGGGACGTGACGCTATAAAATCCAATCCACTTTCGAAAAAATGCCTTCAATTCCGGGTTCCCGCCTTAACCACGATTTTTTCAAAATTTTTACCCAACTCCCCAAAAAAAACTCTCCATATATATTTATTCTCCTCTTAATATCTCATGCTTTTCGTATTCCCCACCCTCTAACCCCTTACCCAGCAATGTCGAGCAAACGGAAAGTTTCTCCGGCGGAATTATCGGAGTCTTCTAAACGACATGCAGTAGAAGTAGTGGAAAGCGTGGATATAGCTGTGGATGAAGTAGTTGAAGGTTATCGGGACGATGATGAGTTTGTAGAGGATGAGGAAATTGTAGCCGATAGTTTGAACGGTGAATCGTTTGATCAGAAAGAGGTGAGAAGAGTTGTTGTGCAGGCTAATGAGGAGCAAGAGTGTGCGTTTTACGGCGAAACTGTGCCGGAGAGTGAAGCTAGGGAGAAATGGCCTCATCGATATATTATAAAGGTTTGCTTTACATTGCACTATACTGTTCTGTATTACTACCTACGTTTCACAAATAATGGTCCAGTTTAACTTGACACGAAGTTTTAAGAAAATAAAGATTTTTTTTGAATTTTGTGATTCTAAATTAAAGTTATGTCAAATGTACAAAATTGTCCTTTAATCTTGTGACCTTAAAACATGTTATATGTAAAGTTGAAATTAAAATATTACTAAAAAAAGAAAGATATCATTCTTTTTGAAATAGACTAAAAAGTAAAGGAGTTCATTCTTTTTGAAATGGAGATAATAATATATTTTTTTTTTGCCTAATTTTTTTTATGTGACATATTTTTCCTTGTGAATGAGCTTAAAGTGCAATTAACCTCTAAAACAATGCTTCAACACTTTGCCTTGCTTAATGTGCGCTTTGGTGTTGTTATCATATTTTTCCTTGTGAATGAGTATTTCTTGTATATGCTATGTTAAATCATTGATGTTTTACTTTATGGTTAAAACAATTATTTTTTTTGTCCTTATATTTGTTATTCATGTTTATAATTATTAATTTTGAACTTGAACTGTTCTGGATAATGAAATTAGGGAGAATTGGCCTCATCGATACATTATAAAGTTTTGCACTGCACAATATTGTATGACACTACTTTGCTTAATGTGTGATTTAGTGCTGTCATCGACATAGTTTTCCTTGTGAATGAGCATTTTTTGAAGAGGAAATACTAAATCATTGATATTTTGCTATGTTTTTGTTTGTATATTTGTTGTTCATGTTTATATATATACTAGGTAATTTACCTGCGCTTCGCGCGAACATAAATAATCTTTGAAACTTTTGAACAGCCTTTCCAATAATCGACTGTTATAAGAAAAAAAAAAATTTTAGTAGGTTTTAAGAACATTTCAACAGAAATTAAATGATTTGACATTATTACATATCTCAAGAATTTTAAATATATAAATGAATGATTAAAAATATCTTGATATCTAATCTATTTTTATCTTTTACATAATTTATCATAATATATGTTTGATGATATAATTTTCTTTTTAAAACTGAGTGATGTTTTATGTAGCGATTAAACATATATTTTTCTATTTTTGTACATGAAAAATATAGAACTGATAATTTTATGGTTAAAATAACTCTTTGTTAAAAACAAATTATATATAGTTTTCGATAATCAATATTAGTTATAAATAAGTTAAGACCGTTAAAAAATGTACACCACAACAACATAAATAATTTTTTTAGAGACAATTTACTTGTATGAGGACAAACGTTCATCACTTTTCGTTATTGTTACATTGTTACTCTAACAAAATTTATAAGAACGAGAAAAATAAATTTGAAACAACAGCAAAATAATATTGTTGATCCTTTTAAAAAATTCATTCTTCATTAAACTGCTGCTTTGAAGGCCCTTCTAGATGCTTCATCAATGCAACTTTATGATTTTTTCAGAAATATGTATGCATAGTTATTATATTATGAAAGTACAAGAAGATAAAAATGTTGGATTCTAGACTTATGTTAAAGAAATATTCTTGAACATTAAACAATTAAAAATGAGTTTAACCTAGATAACTCAAATGCTCAGCAATGACTTGGGACATGAAGGACAACAAATTTATGTTAATAGACATATGTTTTGTAGCTTAAGATATTACTTTTATTTAGAGCAGATTTTGTTTCATATTCTTCAAATTAAGCTTGCTGAAAATAGTCATAAACTCCACACCAAAAATATTTAGTAGAGCTGAATGAGAAGGAAAAAAGAAAAACATTAAAAGGACGAAAGCTTTGTCCAAGTGAGATCATATACATAGCAACCGAAAAATAATCAATACAATTTTAAGGAGACAACAAAACAGCTAGGAAAAACACTACATTAAAGGGAGTAAACTATGAGATATCCAATGATGATAACAAATCATTCTAACCAGAAAAGTTCTCATGTTTTAAAATAACATA